CCACAGGATGTACGTAGAGAGCGTAGAGGCCGTAAAGGCCGTGTCAAAGACCGTAGGGACCGTAGGAACCGTAGGAATGTAGGAACGGTGTGAGAACCGAGAGTCCGTGTCAAAGACCGGATTACCACGCGATAGCTGACATAATTTACCACGCGATAGATGATATAATTTACCACGTGATAGCTGATATAATTTACCACGTGATAGCTGATATAATTTACCACGAGATAGCCGACATAATTTACCACGCACCTGAGTTAGTCCAGGTTTACTAGCTAGTAAACCTGGACTAACTCACTCTGCACTGTGTCATCGCTTCCATATGAGTGGGAGCGGCATTTTCGTTATTGGACGAAAAGGTTTAGGCCGTGTATAGTCCTTTCCACTCGGGATGCAGGGCACTGGATCCTTGGGCCGCGCGCAAGCAAAACATGAACGAACTTGAACAAAAAAAACAGAACGAGGTCTGGAGTTTCTGACTGAGGGCGGTATCCAACTTGCAGGGTACCATCACTCACTTTTCCCACAGTGGCTCTCCAGCGTAAGGCACAACTTGGGCAAGGTCAAGTAATTGAAATATCCAACATTCATGCGGATCGGATACCCATGCAGCACCACTTGCTGACAACCCCCGAGTCTTTGCCTACATCCCGTTTCAACACGCTTCCGCAAATCTGTTCGTGATTAGATCGCGGCTTATGGGTAGCGACTCCCTCATGTGTACAGGACTCGCTTCATCGACAGCGTGTCCGGGTACGCGCTCGGAATCATCGCTTGAAAAAATTGACACAGGTCCATGCTTTACGTCGAACTCCCCACACAAAAAAGAGACAGAGATGCCGAAAGAAAAAGAATTCCCGACGGATTTCACCCCGCGTAATGATCCTGGACTGGTCTGACAAGGAGCGTTCCGGGATTGAACCGGAGACCTATCGCTGGCTTCCCACGGCAATATTTCAACCATAGTTCTGCAGGCGATTGCTCTACCGCTGAGCTAACACTCCACTCTTCTTCCTTTTTTTGAAGGAACCTCGTGCCGGCTCTTCTTGCGATGTAAAGCGATTCTTACAGGTATCCGGTAACGTTGGATGGATCTCGTTCCACCCTACCGCTGTAGCGGTGGCAAGATACGTTCCCAGAGGTCGCGATGGCTGTGAGCCCGGAATCGAGCTTTTCGGCGCAGGAGTTGACCAGGCGTTTGCCGGGGTGGAGTAACATCTCGTTTGTGGGTGTATCAAGACCGTTTACCGCGTCGCTTCAATACCGCAACAAACCGGAACGGCCATGCCGGCAAGGTGACGCTCGGAACATAACTGCCCAGACATTAGGTACTGAAGTCTGATATGGATTAGGGCTTCTCGGCGTTGCTTCGGTGGAGTAACATCACGTTTGTGGGGGTATCCGAGACCGTTTTACTCCGTTGCTTCAATATTGCAACAAACCAGAACGGCCATGCCTCTTATATTGCACAGCAACGCTCGAAACATAACCGCCCAGACAATAGGTGCTGAACGCGTGGTATTACAGACCGCAGATACAGACGTCTAGATTCAATCTTATTCACTTATTCACAGTCATTAAACCCTTTTGCTCCTTTCTGGTGAGAAAGGCAGAGCTCGTTTAAACTCCAGCTTCACAACAACGATCCATGTGTCTGAAAGCCACCCCCTCGACACCACGTAAGGTTTGACGGTGCACGTTTTAAAGTACCACTTATCCTCCCCACCCCGCCGCGCACCCCACGGCCCAAGCGCAAACGTAGTCGTCTGCAGTCCAAAATTCTCTGGTTCGTAACGGTAATACTTGTCGACTTCATCTATATCCCGCGCAAGCTTTAATAGTTCTTTGACGTTTTTGTCGACCGAAGTCGCTAGCTTTGGGTGAACGTATTTGAGGAGGGCCGTGTCCGGGTTCTCGAGGGTGTGGTACTCCCACTTCGGCGGATAGTCCGTACGGTGCTTGACTGTTGCTGTCGCTGTTTCTGTCATTGTCCCTCTTCGGTCATTGTCGCTTTTTCTGTCATTGTCGCTCTTTCTGTCATTGTGTGCGGATAGCTTCTGAGCCAAATAGCGAGACGGAAGTGAAGCTTTATTTGAGGGCAGAGGCCCTTTTTATACATGAGAAACGAAACTGACTCGTTCCAAGAACTTGAGCATATTTGGAAACAAATCGACACGACGCGCGAGCAAATTTCCTGTCGACGCGTCTCTTTCGAAATTCCGTCAATTCTCAATAACTTCCAGAAGGCATAAACATAGAAATTAACAAGCACATCTTCGGTTGTGTCTTTTGTTTCTGAACTGCCCAAAAGCAGAGGCATTAATGGTAACGTGGACGACGAGCGAATGGAACGTGGTTGCTGATTGATGGGTATCCAAATCAAGCTGTGGCCCAAAGCGCGTCGAAACTTCGTGCTGCTGCTTGAAGCTTCACTGCTTGCTTATTGCTTTCGCATGCCCGCGCAATTGAAACTGTCGGATACGATAAGAGTGTTCACGTTTTGTGAAGCTGGTTCGTTTTTAAGACCCGTTTTCTCTCAACATCCCGTTCCCTCTTCAACCAGTTCCGTCCAGGACCTCATTCTGAAAACACAATTTCTATTCGTTCTGCATGTAACAAACGTCCGCCGCAATAATGACTATCCGCGTCCCATCCTTTCCCGTCCGGTCCGAGAACCTTAACCAAACCGTCAAACGCATCTTTGACAAGGTAAGCTATGCACATATGCCCCATCCACCACGCCAACCCGACCCTTACTCTCCCCCTAAGACGGACCGCATCATCTCCACCTCCCCACCCCTCCAATACCTCGAAACCCAACTCCGCATCCACAAATCCTACCTCTCCGCCGTCACCACCGCCGCCGTCCTCGCCATCTGCCTCGTCCTGAATGGTACCACCCGCGGCGGCGGGTGGTTGACGGATTTGTGCGCGTACTTGTACCCGGCGTATATGAGTTTGAAGGCTATGGGAAGTGGAGAGGGGGAGGTGCATGTGTTGTGGTAAGTGGGTGTTGTGGGTTGTTTTGAAAGTCGTGAATGGAAGGAATGAGATGTTTTCTGGGTTACATGCAGGCTTGGGTACTGGTGCATATTCGGGTTCTTTACGATCGTCGAGTACTTTGTCGACACAGTGTTGGAATTGGTGCCGTATTATTTCACGTTCCAGTTGCTTTTCGTCGTGTGGTTGGTGGCTCCGCAGACGCAGGTGCGGGAGAGAATTGAACCCCCGCCATCTCTGGGTCTCCCTCTCTTACGTACTTTATTTTTTTCTCCGATCAGTTTCCCTCATTAGGGCTCTATCCTCATCTACCACCTCCTTCTCAAACACCTCATCCCAATTTTCGACGCATTCTTTAATATTCTTCTTCCGGAACCCGTGGTGGAGCCACAACCCCTCACACCCGCCGACTACGCCGGTGCCGAGGACTCTGCAGAAAAACACACAAATGATGGCGCGGTTTGTGACAGCGAAATCGAGAACGTTTTTGAACAGTAGTGGGGCAACAGTGAAAATGAGTGAAGTGTTTAGTATAGTGTTAGGATATGGTGGTGCGGCCGAAAAATTAGCAAGCATTAGTGGTGTGGGGGTTAACAGCATTCATGAATATTGTAATCGAGTAACACGGACGAGTGTTGTTTATGGTATTGGGAGCAAAAGGCAGTGTTACGGTCCCCGTATGGTTTGGTGCTAGATAAATACACTTCTCCCAGGTCAAGACACCTGAACTACACCGTGACAATCCTAGTGCCAAGGCAACAACAGCAAAATTACACAGTGCGAACCAATGGGCCTTGAAAATGCGTTGGTGCATCCGCTGGAAAACGGCAAGGAAATCCACCAGCAGAGTAAAGTAGCGCCGGCAGCACATGGACGAAGTGCTGCATCCCTTGTTTAAGGCCCGGCGGACTTGGTCTACTTGCTGGCCGACTTATCTCCTTGCACCGAGCACACCATTTTTGCAAAGCAATGGTTGCAAAATTGCTACCAATACCGGCGAAGTCGCGTGCTGGTCGCTACGCTAACCCCGCCGTCGTCCTGAACTTACTCCTCTCTTTTTTTCCTCCTTACAGAGGAGAGACTTTCGCCTCTGCCACGCTGCGTGCCTCAATGGCCAACAAGTCAACGCGTTTTGGCCGGTGAGGGGAGTTGCTGGCTATTATACTTGCCGTTTGGGTGTCTGATGGGTTTTGTCGGGGGAGGGTCCTTTTATATCATCATCTGTATGATTGTTTCCCAAGTGTACGCAACGTCGATTCTCGAGCAGATCGCAGTTTTTGGCGCTACCGCGCAGTCAAATTTCGAAACAGACGCGACATCCCCGGCTCCCAATCAAAATTCACGCGTGAAAGGCGCGTTATGAGGGGATATACAAGGATTTTGGACCTCTGCGCATGTACACCAGTCCAATGTAATCCGCCTCCCAGACAAGATTGACTTGTGCCTTTTGCATTCATTCTCCCGGCAAACATGGACAGACATTAGGACAGTCAGGGCCCACATTTTGGAAAGAGCTTTTGAAGTGGCCTTTTACCAGGAGCAAAAAAATGTCTTCACCGATGGGGGGCTACAGCACGACAGAAATATAAAACACATGTCTGTGCTGAATTCCATCTGCGGTTAACACGACGTTTGGTGAACCACAATGAAGAAGTCACCCATTGCAAACCGTCTTGAAGTAAAGCGGGGTCGCAGGTACGGTTTCCAGTACACGGGACAAAAAACGCACCACGCAAGCTCACAGATGAGCCAGACCGCCCAACCGCCGGTCACCAGATCTGCGCCATCAGCAAACACGGTAAACCCAGAATCTGTCGTCGGATGAGCTTGGTTTGGCCCATCGCCTTCCTCGCCGAATATACTGCTATTTGCGCAGTTTTATTGTAGATGCTCTCTCTCAGCTGAGATATCGATGGTTCCCTGTACACTTCGACCAGTTGGACGTAAGAGCCAGACCTCACATCTCCGCGACACATCAACGGGTTATGGGGTGGAGCGTTACCACAGACACTTTGACCCTCTTTTGGGAGCCGGTTGCATCGCTTTGTATCCCATCAGCGGTGTCCCACACCGAAAAGAAAAGCAGATAAAAATCCGCAGAGCTTGATATTCTTAAGCACATACATCCGACAGGAGCGTTGAAATGCTCTGGTCAAACTAGCCTGGCCACCAAACACATCACATTGCCATCATGAAGGATGCATCGGCTCTTTGGCAGCAGTCGGAAAACATGACATTTCTACGCGCTCAGCTACGTTCTTCTTTTCGGGTTAGGGGCGACGGGGACCTGACCAAATCCTCCATCGCACCCAAATTGAGTGAACTGCGCATCTGCCCCTCGCCAAACAAAGGGAAGAGGGACCGTGGTCTGGATGACCAAGATCCGCAACACGCCGATGCCATAAGCATCGGCGGGTTTCTTGTTCGTTCCTGTCACTGGTACCACTCATCTACTCCTTCATGTTGCCCTGGTGGTGACAGGTTCATGGCAGGAATACCTGCTAAACATGGCTTGGTCTTGGAAGAAACAAGACCGACCGACTGCCCCTCGAACCGCATCCGAATCCTTTTTTCTTCCTTCGCCGTTCTTCCGAAACACCTCGAATGGAAAAGGGAATACCGACCACAAGAAAATCCGCGCAAGTAATGGAATCGAACAGGAGACAAAAGCATCGTCTTGCCAAAAGCAAGACCAAGCTCGTATCACCGCCACACTGCATCTTGGTCTTTTTTTCGGGTGGAGACGGGGACCTGACCAAAATCGCTCCATGTCACCAGAAGGTGGTGAGCTACGCATGTGGCCCGCACCAAGGCACACTTCACCTGGCACTCCGCATCGCAACTTGTGAGGCATACATGATTCTCCAAGTCCGCGGAAACGATAGCCAAACTCCTATATCACCTCCCAGTCCGAGTGCATGATTTCATCAAGTGCAACACAAAGCACCATCTTGCTAAAACCAAGAGGAAGTTCGTTCTGTCCGAAAGGTTTTGCATGTTTGTC